GCTGGTATAAACATGGGTATGTATGTATCACTGTAATATGATGACTTTAATTCTTCAGTATAAATATTGAGAAGTGGTATAGTTGGGTCTAATGGTCCTTCCATGCCTAGCTTTTTGAGGAAACTCTGTACTGATTTTCATAGCGGTTGTATTAATTTAGAATGCCAACAATATTATAAAAGTGTTTCTTTTTTCCCGTATCTTCTTTAGTATTTATTATTGTCTGTATTCTTGATGATTACCATTCAGATTGGGATGAGATGAAATCTCAGTGTAGTTTTATTTTTGCATTTCCTAATCGCTAATGATATTGCACTTTTTTAAAAATATATTTGTTGGCCATTTGTATTTCTTGAGAAAAGTCTATTTAATTCCTTGACCGATTGTTAATTGAGTTATTGATTTTTTTGTGTGTAAGGTTTTTTGAGCTCTTTATATATTCTAGATATTAATTCTCTATGAGGTGAGTAAATAGCAAAGATTTCTCTTTCATTCTGTAGGTTTTGTCTTCACATTCTTAACTGTTTTCTTTGCTGTGCAGAAGCATTTTAATTTTATGCCATCCCAAATTCCTGAGCTTTAGGGGTCCTAATGTGAGAATTGTTGGCTATGCTATGCCTATATGCTGATTTGTTGATCTTACATTTTCTTCTAGGAGTTGCAGAGTTTCTGGTCTAATTCCTAGGCCTTTAATAAATTTTGAGTTAGTTTTTGTGCAGCATGAGAGATAAAGGTCTAGTGTCATTGTTCTACATGTGAATAACCAGTTGTCCCAGCACCATTTCTTAAAAAGGCTGTTGTTTCTTCAGTGTTTGTTTTTGTTATTTTGTCAAGGCTTGGATGATTGTAGATATGTGGGCTTGTCTCTGTGTCTTCTAGTCTGTACTATTGGTCTATGTGCCTGTTTTAATGCCAGTACCATGCAGTTTTTGTTAATATAGCTGTGTAGTATAGTTTGAAGTCTAGTGTTGTGGTTCCTTCAGCCTTGCTTCTTTGGTTTAAAATTGCTTTGGCTCTTCTAGATCCTTCAGTATTCCAAATGAATTTTAGGACTATTTTTCTAGTTCTGTGAAATATGTCACTGATATATTTATGGAGATTGCATTGAATCTGTATATGGCTCTTGAGAGTATGGCCATTTTAACAATAGCAATCTGTCCATCATGAACATGGGATGTCTTTCCATCTTCTGAGGTCTTCTTCAATTTCTTTCTTCAATGTTTTATAGTTTTCACTGTAGAGGTATTTCACCTCTTTGGTTATATTTATTCCTAGGTAATTTATTTATTTATTTTTTGAGGCTGTTGGGAATGGAATTCTTAATGAAAAATGAAGGAGTCTTTCCCACTGAAGTGGTCAGAATAGTTGACAAGAATGGATGGTCACTGTTTTTCTTTCTTTCTTTCTTTCTTTCTTTCTTTCTTTCTTTCTTTCTTTCTTTCTTTCTTTCGTCTTTCTTTCTTCTTCAGCTATGTATTGAGAGTGAGAGCAAGAGCTAGAAGTTGTTAATTCCTTTCTATTTTTTTATTGCTCTCTGAACTGCCAGTTTGTATGTCTGTCCTAAGACTGAAGATGGTTGAAATAAATCTCAACTTCCCCTTTCACCAGTATGAGGTAGGATGGAATGGGAAGTACTGTCAGTTGGAGTTTTGTCTGCACAGACCATATTGATTCACTTCCAGGGTGGGGCTGATGCAGAGTTCTATGAAGAAAGTTCTGCTCTCTTGTACAACTAATTCTCTTCTAGGTCTAATTTTGCCTCAGGGGCTTTGTTGAGTGGTGTCTGTTCTGGCCTGGCAGTTGCTAATTTCATTGGGAAGTCTGGATCTCAGGAGTATCCCAAGAATTATTCTTGTGGGGACATGGAAGCCAAACCACACATTCTACTGCCCGTAAACACAATCTTCCCAGGGTTACTCCTGAGTGTAGTCACACCTATCTGTTCAGATTCTCAACTTGCTTCAGTCAGCCCATAAGCTGCCAGACTCAGAGGAGTAAAGAATTGGACTCCCCTTTGTGTTTCTGATCCCCCTGGATAGAATCTTCTCTGTGCCTGTTTCACTCATATTCTACTAGACCACAAGGTAGGTGCTTGCTGAAATAGTGTGGCAATGTTTGCTATGATTTCCCAGCTCCCACAGCAGTAGTTGTAGCATGGCTGCCTCAAGGTGATTTCTGCCTCAGCTGTCTGTAGCCAGCACCAATGGCACAGGGCAGCCTCTGCATCAGTCAAGTTCAGGCTGCTTTTCTGGTTTTTCTGTTTTCAAATCTGTATTTCTCTCTATGTTCTCCTGACCTCTTTGGTGAACCAGCACTGTTTCTGTGTCTGCCACCACATCTATCTTGGTTCCAATGTACTCTTTCTTCTTTGTTTAGTATACCCAAATTTCTGAATCTCAGATGCTCTGACTGATCCATATTGAATTTTAGTGAAGTCCCTCTTTTACCCAGCTTGCTGAGAAACAGTACTACCTCTGCTTGAATCCCAATCCACAGAGCAATTAGGAATGCAGCCTTCCTCTGATGTATCATCTTGCATCTCCTTGAGGTATTACGTGATCTACTTTTTTAAAAATTGATCTACTGTTTGAATAAATAAATGTGAAATGGCTAAGTGTTAAAACAAACATTTGAAGAAAACTGAGGTAAAATAAAATATTACCTCACAGAATGGATATTTGGTATATCATAATAAATGTAAGTTTATCAAAATTATTTCAGCTAAATTTTTAATCATTAAGTCACAAGAGCTTGATCACATAGTATATCAATAATTTCATAAGACTCAATTTCTGAATTGCAATAAACCACTTATTTTCAAAGAGATTTCTGAAGAACCAATGTATCTTTGGGGTACTGCAGTTTCCTCTAATACTGTCTTCTTTTATCAATACAATTTATCTTTGATTATGTTTAGAATGGACAATTTATTATAAGCCTTGTGCATTTTTTCCCTCTTGAAATGTGATGGTGTGCTGTCTCCTCCTCCTCCTCCTCCTCCTCCTCCTCCTCTTCCTCCTCCTTCTTTTTCTTCGTTTTTGACTTGTTGTGCTGTATTCTTAAAATCTGTGAAGAACTTACAAAGTAGGAATTTTCTGGAGTGAAATATGCTTACCTAAATGAAATTTATGACTATTATTATAAATTCTAGTTTACCAAGGAATTCCACAACCAATAAAATTATGATATAGTTTAATTTCTGTCTTTCTACCTTTGCTATTTAAATTCTTTTGCAAAAGGAGGTCATGCTGGTCTACTTTTAATATTTAAAACCTTTTGCAAAAGAAGGTCGTACTGTTCTTAAATACCACACTGTCTTAATATTTATGTATACTAGTATTTTATTTCCTTATTTAAATATTGAAAGTAAAAATTTACTATGAAGTCAACAATTATCACAATCATTATTTCTAGGAGCCATTTATTCTGGTCAAAATCAATGTACATTTTACTAGACTCACAGAATTCAACATATAAACATACAATAGGATCTTCATTAAAATTACATTTAGAATAACTAAGAATAGCTTAAATAAAATATTAATGTGTTAATAATAAATTTGAATGAAAAGTTGTTCTTATAGTACTAACATTGTTTTTCCTATGTGATCATATGATCATTGATCATACAAATTCAGGGTTATTAGAAAGAAGTTCAAGTCAACATTCAACTATTTGATGGTGTTCCATAAACTGGAGTAAAACAGCAGATATTAAAAACATTCCTAAATAGAAGCTGAACTTTTCAGTGCATTCATAGTGGAAGCTATAATGCATATTTTCATATCTTACTATATTTTAGTCATATTATTATTCCTGATGTTTGGCCTCACCTTGGGTCTAGACTATGGTGACTATATTCATCTATAGACTGAAACCTCGGAAACCGTGAGCTAAAACAAACTTTTTCTCCTCTATGTTTCCCTTATCAGGTCTTTTAGTCATAGTGAAGCAAGAACTTACTAAAACAGGGCTATATTCTGGAAACTGGACTTTAAGAAAGCTCTCTAAAGTGCTAGGCACTTGCATTAGTCACCATGAGCTACTAAAATAAAGTATCAGAGATTGGATGCGGAGCAAACACTCAACCTCACAGTTATGAAGGTGGAAGTATGAGATCAGGGTGCCAATGTAGGCAGGTTCTGGTGAGGGGCCTCTTCAGGTTTGCAGATGGTTGTTTCTTTCTGTAACATCACATGGAGAGAATGAGGCTGTGGGTAGGGGGAGAGAGAGAGAGAGAGAGAGAGAGAGAGAGAGAGAGAGAGAGAGAGAGAGAGAGATATCAAGATATATCAAGTGCAAACTCTCTGAGCACTTTTTAAAAGGGCACTGATTCCAGAATCAGTGTGGAAGCCAAACCACACACTCTGCTGCCCAAAACATGATCCTCATGATTTTATCTAATCCTAATTGTTGCCCAAATGTCCTATCTCCAGATATCATATGGGGGGTTAGGGTTTTAACCTAAAAAATAGTCACTCTCCACTGTAAGTGAAGTCAGGGGCTCTGTTGGTGTCTATCACAGAATCTTCCATTTTCTTTTTCTTTGCCTTAGAAATCCTATTTTTTTCTCACTTAAGAAGATCCTGGAATTCAATGAACAGTTTTTAGCACCTTTCCCTCAATTCCAAAACAAAGAATTCTGTGTCTTCACATCAACAGACATATAAAATGTACATTAAAAGCTTTTGTTCATTGCTCACTTGTCTTTGCAATCTAGAAGAAAATGTCTCACTTGGTTCAAGGAAATTTATAGGGCAAAATTTACCCCATTTATATAACTGCCTTTGAAAAGACAATATCCAGGAAAAGAAAAAGATGAGGGGATGAGTATTTCGTTTTTATCCGGCATAATGGTTATTTCCTTTAGGGCATTAATAATGTTTTGTCTAGATGAACAAAAACAAATTGTGAAATCTTACATGACACACCAAGGATCTCAATATACTTATGGAAGTGTCTACCAACTCTTTTGGGGCATTAATTTCTCAATTTCCTTTTTCACTTTGCCCCATCTGCCTGAGTGAATCAAGGGAAACCCCAGTTTTTGAAAAGACTGCTTCTTTTTAGTTAACGGTTATACTGGGAACTTTCTGACCTCACCAGAAGCTAAGATTGGTGTTCAATCTCAAGTATTTATGAACATATTTCTCTATCCACAGAAATATATACCCTGAAAAAAAAAAAGGACGAGGTTCCTGGTCCTCTTGACCACTGGTCAACATAGAGTAAACACACAATGAGGCTTGAAGAAACTCAGAGTAAACGTGAGTACTTTTTTTCAATTTTAAAGAGGCAGAGGAAATGATAACTAAGAGTTAACAATGTGAATTGATGATAATTGCAAAGATCAAAGATAGTGATGAGAAGGAGCAGTGGGAGGAAATGAGGATGACCTTGGTGAAGAGACAGATGAGTTGGGTAGCAGAAAGTTCTTTACAAAATGTAGGTTGTAGCAAGAGAGGAATAATAAAAGTATAAAAGAGAAGTAAGGTGAAAAGAAAGAGAGTAATTTGGGAAGATTCTTTTTAAAATGCTTTTATTAGTGCATTGTAGTTATATACAAATGGGGTTTCATTTTGACACAAACATACACGTGTGGAGTACCATTTGCTTCATTTTAGTCCTCAGTATTTCCTCTTTCCCTCCTCTCCTCTCTCCTTCTGTTTCTCTTTCTCTATTTTACTTGTCATTCTTCTATTTATTTATTATTTTTAATTGGTGTTGTATAGACATACATAAAGGTGAAATTCAGTGTAATGTATTCATATTTGTACGTAGCATAACTTGGACAACTTCATTCTGCTTGGATGGATTCTTTTAAGGGGGAGAGAGAAGGAGGGTGTAGAAATACACTGCCTCAGGCTCATGGTATATCATAGGTTCTGACTCTGATTTTGCTTGACTTAAAGGACACCAAAATATTTGTGTTGCAAGAATGTTAAATAATAGTTTTGAGAAATATGGAGAATTAATGAAAAATTATTTAAATTTAAAATTAAAGTTTTGCGTAATCTCATCAACCCACCAAGGTGAACTTTATTGGGATCACATTATATAGTGGTCCTGAAAAATGCCTTTTCATGTAACAACATGTCTTGGGAATTTTTAAGCTAATACATAATGATATGCATAATTATTTAGCTGTTACATAGAATTTCATTATATACACTGATTGTAATTTAGAATATATGATATTGATAACACATATGTAAGTATTAGGTCCTTTTTTTCACAACTATTTGATGGTGTTCCATAAGTAAAACAGCATCTATTAAAAACTGCAATGCACATTCTTTTATTTGTAGAAAATTAATGAGTTTAAAAATGGATAAAATCTACTGAATTGATATTTCCGAAAGATTTTTTTTTATTTACAGTCTCAGCAGCAGTTGTTTCCTCACTGTGGGTACTTATTTCCTCACATCCTTGCCAACACTGCAATTTTTACTTTCCTTCTACAAATCGATATGAAAAATCACACTACAATATTATAGTTCATGTTTCCTGATTGTGCGTATCTTGATAACCATTTATAATTTCAGCAAATTATAATTTGGGCATATTTTCTGCTCAAAGCTTTTCTCAGTTTTCTAATTGACTTTGAAATTCTTTATACAATATGGATTGTAATATTGGGACAAGACTTTTCTTTCATGTATTCCTTATTGTTTTAGGTTGTTTTGTTACATAGAAGTTTTAATTTTTATGTACTCAAATTCTCAACTTTTTTTGGATTTCAGGTTTTATGTTTTGCTTATAAAAATGTTTCCTATTCCAAAATTATAAAAATGTTCACAATTATTTATTTACCAGTAAGCTCTAAAATCAATATATTCACAAGAAATATTTAAGCTGTCCTCTAGATACTAAAATGTTTTGGATGTTCTTACATTTAGCTTGCTCCTTGGTAGAACTGCCTTTCTTACACTTTTTGGCCAAGTTATCTAACCAGTTTCTTTTTGTTTTGTTTTTTAGGACAAAGAGGCCGGCATTCCCAGCTGGTCACTTGGGTCTTTGCAATTGTTTGCATCTTTCTTCTCAGTGCCTGTTTTATTGCAAATTGTTTTGGTAAGTTATTAGCTAAGGTGGAACTCTTATTGAATTATTTCTTGAAAACAACTTTCATAAGGTTAATCCTAGCCTTTTACTGTCTTGATTTTCCCCAACATATAAATGTATAATACATTCAGTGTCTTTGATTTAAAATTTAGACTTACCTAGTTGCTTTTTATTGTTTGATGGTGCTATCTTGTGCCACAGAATGAAAGACTATTTTAGGTACTTGTAAAAACTGGTGAAAACAGTAAAGTTTTGAATTCAGATTACAAAGGGCTGCATCTTATGAGTAGGGAGTAAGCAGAAAAAAAACCAACTTTCTAATGTATTGACTTTGAAAGGGAGAGCAAGTTTGGATGTTCCCCTCCATTCCCTTCTCTTCCTCCTTCTTTCTTTCCCTCCCTCCCTCCCTTTCCTTCTTTTATTCCTCCCTCCCTCTCTTCCTCCCTCTCTCCAATTCTTTTCCTCCCTCCTTCCCTCCTTCTCTCCTTTCCTTTTTCAAAAAAAAACACAACACTTTGTTGAGAAATGGTTGACATATAAAAAGCTATAAATACTTAACACACACATATGAAGTTTGAGGATAAGTATATATTTATGGAACATAAGTATCATCACAACCATAGGAAAACTTGTTTTTAATGATATCAAGACCCAAAATAAAATTATTAAAATAAAAGTAATATTACACAGGTACAAAAACAAACAGACTAGAGGAAATTAATAGAGATCTTAATTACATATCCTGCATACATAAACTTTTTATATAAAAATAGAAGGGAATATTGCATAGTTAGGAGAAGAGGATCATTTTGCTAAATTAATATTTAAACCCATTAATTTATCTATATTTAATAAATGAAACTAGGCTCCTGCATCACACTAAGTACAAACATCCATCCAAATTGGATTATTGACCAAAATGTGAAGAGTGAATTAATTAAATCTTAAAAAGATAAATGGAGAATATCTTTGTGATCTTGATAGGGCAATGATTTCTTAAATCACAAAATGCACATATAAAATAAATACAGCTTTGACAAATTATAATACATTGAAATAAGAGTTACCATATAACAAGATAACAAAGTGGAAACAGAAAACCCTAAAAGAAAACATTTGTAGTCTATACAACTAATATATGTGATATCTATACTACAAAATCTTTTCAATTCAATAGAAAAAAATCTACAACACAATAGCAAAATTTTAAATAGTACATTATAAGAAAAATAATAGTCAAATAAACACAGGAAAGTCAACTTCATTAGTCAGGAGAAACGCAACTGCAACTCACAATGAGATACCATGCAAACATTCCAGGATGGTAGTGATTAAAAAATCTGCACTTCACAATATTGTTGATGCTATGGAAAATTGGACCCGAACTGCTAAAGACTTGGTGCTTGTGTGAGTGTGAAGCAGACAACCTCTTTGGAAAAGTGTACCATGATTATAGTTTATAACATGTTTATGCTATCATCATCAATTGCACTTCCAGGGATTTACCTTACAGAAATGCATGCTTATGTGCTTTAGAATGGTGGTGAATATTGCTCAGAGAAGCATATTCACAACAGCCAAACACTGTAAATAATACAAATGTCTACTAGAAGTAGAATAGATAAATATGTTTTATACATTGCTATAGCAAAGAAATGGATGAGTTATTGCACATGCATTAGCATGGATAAATTCCAGAAACAATACTGAGCAGAAGATTAAAACCAAAGGAATACATTCCATGATTCCATATGGTCTTGGATTACATTATTACAGTGGTAAAATTGTGAAGCAAAGCACTTTAAAAGTCAGGAAATGGTTACCTTACAGAATAAGTGGAATGCATTTGGGTTCTGAAGGCCACTGGCAATATTCTATTTCTTGAGTAGGACAAAATACCTGGAGTTTAACATATTATTATTACATGTTACAATAGTTTTCTAAACTGTACATTTATGTTTTCCACTTTCTTTAAAGCATTTGGCCATATTTCAGAGAAAAATTACTAATAAATATTAATATCAAATACAATTTTCAACAATTGCTTTTTAAAAATATTTAATTGATTTTTATTTTTTAAATACATGACAGTGGAATGCATTGCAATTCTTATTACATATACAGAGCACAATTTTTCATATCTCTGTATATAAAGTATGTTCACACCAATTCATGTCTTAATACATGTACTTTGGATAATGATGTCTATCACATTCCACCATCATTGCTAACCCCCGCCCCCGCCCTTCTCCTCCCACCCCTCTGCCCTATCTAGAGTTTGTCTGTTCCTCCCATGCTCCCCTCCCTACCCCATTATGGGTAAGAGAAAACATTTTATATCAGAGAAAATATTTGGTATTTGGGGTTTTTTTGGGGGGGATTGGCTAACTTCACTTAGCATTGCTTTCTTCAATGCCATCCATTTACCTGCAAATGCCATGATTTTATTATTTTTTGTTGCTGAGTAATATTCCATTGTGTATATATGCTACATTTTTTTAATCCATTCATCTACCGAGGGGCATCTAGGTTTGTTCCATAGTTTAGCTATTGTGAATTGTGCTGCTATAAACATTGATGTGGCTGTGTCCCTGTAGTATGCTGTTTTTAAGTCCTTTGGGTATAGACCAAGGAAAGGAACAGCTGGGTCAAATGGTGGTTCCATTCCTAGTTGCTTTCAACCAATTCACTTGTTGCTGGCACAAAGAAACTGCATAGGAAAAAAAGAGAATGTGTTGGCTTTAACTATTAGAGTAAGAGAAAATTTAGACTTCTTTAATTTTTCTATTAAAGTTGGTTATGTAAAGAAAGGAAACTAAACTTTTCTTTCTTGACAGTGACATATCACAATTTTTTACGTAAGAGAGGAATGCAAAGGTTCAAGTTACCAGAGTATCATATGAAGCTAACATGCATCAGAGAAGAATCAGGACTAAAAGGTATAGATAGCAGAGAGCATAAACGAATGTCTTCTTATTTTCATTTCTGTTCAAATTCATAATTTGATTTAAAGAATATAAGCAGTAAGCCAAGGAGGAGTAAAATAACATAAAGAAGAATCTAGCATAGAGGTGAATATATAAGTAAACTGGGAAAAATATTTCTCATGACCACACTCCGTGGAATAACTGGAAAAAATATAATAACACATTCATGGGCTATTTTTGACATCCAATATATAACATGAATTTAATTCCAATTTATTATATGGACAGATTCTTCTTAGACTATATAGCTCAGCTGAGATATATTTTTATCTTTTATTTGCAGTCTCATTTAAGAGAATGGAGAAATGCTTGAGTTTTAACAGATTTTCTTTTGACTCCTTCTGATAAGATGTCTTGCAAAAGACTTTAAGGAAACACTTTATATTTGAAAGTAAATAGATGGATATAGGGACATTGTTTTTGAAGAGAATACTCTGCAATTTTCTCATCGACATTATGTGGTTTCAGGTACTATTATTTAGAAGATATTTAGAATTTAGTTTTTTTGAAATTTTGCTGGGGGGGTGGGAAATGGGAGATAATGATTGTGGTAATCCTGGTATTACTTACACAAATGTTAAATGGATATTAAGTCATAGAATAGTTACGCAATTTGTCACAGATGAAAAAAAAATTATTTAATTTCCATTTCAATTTTCACCTGAGGAGATACCTGGAATTGCTGTCCTATTGGCTGGAAAGGCTTCCAGTCCAACTGCTATATTCCTTTTAATGACAACAAAACGTGGGCTGAGAGTGAAAGGAACTGTTCAGAGATGGGGGCCCATCTGGCGACAATCAGCACAGAAGCTGAGCAGGTTTGTCAGGAACTCTACCACGGTTTCTCTACTGCTTTGAATCTCTTTTCAGGGAAAAAATTTTTCTGCTCTTCTAGACCTCTGGATCTTTTCTTCATCTATTCCATATGCTTGGTAGGCCTTTTCTTCTTATCTTATTTTTTTCTTCTTTCCTTCCCTCCCTCCTTCCTTCTCCTTCTCCTTTCTTCTTCTTTGGGGGTACTGGGGATTGAACTGAACTCATGAGCACTCAACCACTGAGCCACATCTCCAGCCCTATTCTGTATTTTATTTAGAGACGGGTGTCTCACTGAGTTGCTTAGCATCTTGCTTTTGTTAAGGCTGGCTTTGAATTCGTGATCCTCCTGCCTCAGTCTCCTGAGCCGCTGTGATTATAGGCATGGGCCACTACACCCAGGTAAACTGTGGTTTTAATAGTAAAGCCCACCATATGTTACAGTATACTTTACCATTTCTCTGATAATAGAAACGTTACATACATGTGGAATTATATAGTAACATATACATCTATCTATGAAACATTTTTTACATGTTAGAAAATTAGCGATTTTTCTTTATATTGTCAACTTCTCATCTTTCTGGGTTTTATTCAAGCCTTATCTCTTCTAGAAAATGACCCTGATGACCTTCCCTACTCCACCATCCCAATTCTAAGTTGTAGGTACAGTTGTAACTCATTTGCAAGTGAGGTCGTAGCATTTACTCTAGTGTACTAAAATGTCTGTTTGCTACACCATCTCTTCCATTGACTCCCACTTGGGAGAGGGCTGGAGCCTTACTATACTCATCTTTGCATCTCTAGTGTTCTGTGCAGAGCCAGGTAGGCACACTGGATAAGACATTAAATGTTTGGTGAGTATGTGGGTAAACGAGTGATTAATCAGGATTGATTATAGCTTCTCAAGATAAAGTACAGACAAAAAAATTGAGATGTATAGTTCTAATTCCAAATAAAGAAATATTTGGGTAAGTTCAGTTTTTCAAAGATGAAACTTATTTCCTCATATATTTATGACTCAGATTCTATTTTTTTCTTAATCAATAGTTTCCTTGAGTATTCTATCTCTAAGCCTTTTCCATCTATAGGCTTGCTGCTGTTCAAATAAATGCAATTTAAAGAAACAATTAAAAAAGGCAATTTTAGAAACAAAAGCCTCTACAAATAAAATGCTATTAAGCAGGTATTAAGAGGGCTTCAAGTATGAGCTCATTTAATCTACACAGTAATTCTATGAAGTAGTAAGTTGTTCTTTTTGGAGATAAGAAAACTGGGGATTCAGTAAGACAAAAGTATTTACTAAAATCGTTAGAAGCAGGATTTGAAAACAGACCTGATATCAAATCTTTGTACTAAACCAGTAATCTATTTGACTTCTCTTTCTCAACAAAACAGCTATGGCTTAAGTTCAAATATATCTATAAAAATCTATATTTTGTGTGCAGAACTTTATGACTAAATTTTTGGATAGACGATTTTCATATTTCCTGGGACTTACAGATGAGGATATGGAAGGTCAATGGCACTGGGTGGACCAGACACCATTTAATCCACACATGGCGTGAGTATATTGGTTGGGGCTAAGGGAATTTATAGGCAAATGTGAGAAGATGTAGCAAGAAGAATTAATTGTAGAGTGGAATACACCAATGTAAAATATTTACTCAGAATAGAGCAGTGTGGATCAAGTAGCCTCTGTAGGCCACACCCAGTTGCAGAATAATCCTGACTTTAGCAAAATTTTTGGTATTTTTATTTATTCAATATTGATGGAAGAATGGGTAGCTTAACAGTTATTTGAGAAAATAGTCCTTAAACTTGACATTTGTATAAACAACATAATGTGATATATATGTCTTCACTATCAGCTAAGATTATACTACTGTATATATATGTATGTGTGTGCGTGATTCAATTCCAGTATGGGGATTGAATCCAAGTACATTATACTACTGAGATATACTCCCAGTCCTTTTTTTTTCATATTGAGACAGGGTATTATTAAGTTTCCAAGGCTGACCTTGAATAATTGTGATCTTCTTGAGTCTTTGGCATTACATGTGTGCCACTATGTCCTGCTGATAAAAATTATTATTCAGAATTATAACCTGTTTTTCTTCTGTGAAACCAATATTGTCTAATATAAACAAAATCACAAAGTACAATTACAATGTTTTAGCAATCACAAGAATAAAGTAAAAAGAAATAGTAAAATTTATTTTAATAATGCTTTAATTATCATGAATAATATATTTAACTCAATAATCCAAATCTTGTTTCAATGTGTGATTAATAGAAAACTATTAGTAAGATGTTTAAACCCTTTCTTTTTGTACTAAGTTTTCAAAGTAAGGTGTGCACATAACAAACATCTCATATGGAGAGATCACATTTCAAGTGCTCAATAGGTGTTCAAGAGTCACATCAAATAGCGACTCTTGCATTGCACAGTGCAGCTCTGAAATGTTCAATAGGGACATTTTCTCTGACATGGTCCCCTGATAACTATATCTGTAATCCATATCATCTATATCTCTCTCTGTTTCTTCTTCTTTCAGATTCTGGCATGAGAATGAACCTAACAACTTTCAGGAAGAAGACTGTGTGGTCATTGTTAATGCCCAAGATAAATGGGCCTGGAATGATTTTCCTTGTAACTTTGAGACAAGTAGAATTTGTAAGATACCTGGAACAGGATTCAACTAGAAACCTACAAAGTGATTCTTGTGATGGAAAAGAACAACCAAATCAAGCAGGGAAGAATGTAAAGCATCATTCAAACAGAGAAAACGTGGAGTCATAGAGCATTTTTCAGTCAGAATGCCCTTATTTATTTTTGTTCAACTCATGCAAGATTGTGTGTGTGTGCGTGTGTGTGTGTACAAGATAATGTGATTTTGTGTGGTGTTTTCATGGAAAGAATCATCTATTCCATGAGAACCAGTTTCATTATCTGTGCTTTCTTGATATTATCTCAAGGTAATTACTTTTTGTTTGTTATGCATTGATTAAATATCTAACAGAATCACTTGAATAATGCAATCTTTTTGTCATTTTTCTCTTGTTTTAATTCTTATCTCTTAGAATTCTTAACTGGTAGTGGTGAATCATTTTTTTTTTACCCAAGTATCACAGACTTTGAAGTATTTATGTGATATTTTTATTGTTTGATGTTTCATTTTCAGACTTTGAAGTAATGTCATTAAACTGACATTTGTGAGTGAAAATTTTCCAGAACCATAGTATAAAACAGTTCTAAATTATGGTACTGCACAGGTAGAAAAACAATGAATAACCTCCTTACTCCACTCTAAATAATTTTGAAAGCAGAATGTATCAAACTGACTTAATATCATTTTTAGTGGAAAATCCCATTATTGGCCACTTGAACCAAACACCTTCAATTCTATAGGATTGAAGGAAAAAGATCCTCGGGAAGATATAAAGCTCACCTTTGAATTGCTTGCTCATGATAATCATTACTATCCTTTAGTAGAGATGAAATGTATTCCCTGTGGAATTATAGGAAAGTTACTGGGGATAATTTGGCTCTTAGCTAACAGTTAAAATTTATTAATTATTTGGAGTTCCACTATATTGGTAACTTCATTTTCACATGAAGGAAAGAGTCACATTTTAACCCATTCATTTATATTGTTAAAATATTTTTAAGCTATAAAGCTACAGTTCAAACTAGAAAGGAAGTCATTGTTTTAACCTCTTAAAATTGTTATGTATGTAGTACCACTTATGAGGCAGTCCCATTCAACTTTAATAAGATACAGTGCTTTCTTAAAAATTTTAATCAGCTAATGTTTCCTGGCTCTCAACTGAAAGATTTTAAGTAATAACTTTTTAAAAGATTTTCTATGCCACTCTTTTAAAAACAGTATTTATTTTGTAAACTGTTATTGATTTTTGAGTGTTGGTGTATGATTATATGTGGGGATTGGGTGCATTGTGTGTGTGTGTGTGTGTGTGTGTGTGTGTGTGTGTGTGGTGTGTGTGTTATGTGTCTACATCTCAAACTGATGCTTTTAATTGGAGTGATACTAAGTAGTTTTAATCCTGTCTACCATATACACTAAATTACATAGCACAAATCCTGTTATAATAATTTTATGTAGATGCTACTAGGCTTTGTACAGTTAATTCTTCAATTATTAATTCATATAAACCTGTATATAGGTAGAGATTCAGTTGTCAATAAAATGTGATAATTTATTCAGTTATGTCTATCTCTGTATAATGTGTTTCTCCAAATGCCAATCATCTTTCATCACCTCCAATGCCATCACTACACCCTAAGCCTCATGGCCTTTGGATCTATCTCTCTGTTTCCAATCTTAGTCATTTTCGGTCTATTTTCAATTCTCATAGCACATCTCCTATTCACAATTTTTTAAAACATAACTGACAGTAATTTAATAAAAATAAACTCTAAATTTTAGTACTTTATAATATTCTAGAAGCTTGAAACACTCAAAAGATTTTAAGCAGTGTTTTTATTTTTATTTTTTTAAATATACATGTGTATTAAAGAGGAAAAACAAGAAACACATAAATAAAAGTATGAAATAAATCTTCAGTCCCCCAATGCCCCTTAAGAGGAAATCTGATTATCGGTTTCTTTTATATATTTCCATATGTTTACATAATATATAACTATATATTCTACAAATGAAAGGTTAAATATGTATACTGTATAAGCTAGCTATGTGCTATATGAAATATAGACATATGCATACTATATGAACATATTAATATGTAGTCCACAATATTTTATACTGATATAATCAATATTTACATATTCCTAAACATCTTTTTTAAACTTAATAATGGTTTGGAAATTGTTTTTACCTTGTTTTTTTATAAGTGAATAGCATTTCATTGTATGGTTGTATTATAATTGGAGTAATCTTAAAATTATAAATTATTTCCTTTATATAATAAAAAATCAACAAGATGATAGCTCTAAAACAAACCACAAAGCAGTCCCAGTTCAGAGCTGGAAATGGGGAAAATATTTCATGGATTTTCCATCTACAAATATATGGGGCTTACAGAACAAGTTTGAATGCATTGAGAGGTGATGTGCAGTTCTGGAGAGTTAAGAGATGGATTATATGTGTACATAGAAAACTAAATAAATATGAAAAATAATGACAATACTAACCACAGTGAAAATCAGAATGCTTTAAGAGTACATGATAATATTAGATGTATATAATACATACCAGTACATGATTCAGCTGTGAATAATATTTTCAAATTCACAACAATGTAAATGTTGAATACTTAACATTTAAGTACAAACTTAAAAATAAGTGATCATATAATGGTAAAAGAATAGACATTGTACACATGTGAAACAGAAAGAGAAGGAGATAGTCTTGTTCACTAGTGTGCAGTTAATAGAAACTAATCAAAAATTTAAAAAGAAACCAAAGAGTTGTAATACAAACTGTATTTAGAAGCTATTGAGATCAGAAACCTGGAACTCAATAGATAAAGAAACATCTAAAGAGTTGAATGTAGTTTCTCCTCTGATTTAGGAATCAGAAGTCAGAAGAAGACAGCTATTTTTAATTACAACCCTTGCAGAAGAATTTGTTTTTTAAAACACATGTGTGGTGTTTTGATGGAAAGAATCATCTATTCCATGAGAACCAGTTTCATTATCTTTGCATTATCTAGTGTGCAGTTAATAGAAACTAATAAAAAATATTTATGTGGATAATTTGAAAATCTGATAATGTAATTAGTCACATCAGTATTTATTATTTATTTTGTGGTTCTTGAGATTGACCCCACAGCTTTATGCATGCTAGGCAAACGCTGTTCCATAGCTCCACCTCCAGTCCTTGCAACTATTTTGGAAAAGAGGTGCTTGAGCATTGTCATAGTCCATTTTTGGTTGCTCTACCAAAATACAAGAGGCTTGGGAATGTATAAAGAAAAGAGGTTAATTCAGCTCATAGTTTGGATGCTGAGAACCTGAGTCAGCTAACTATCAGTTTACTTTTTGGTGGAAGCATTCAGGCTAGATCACAATACAGAGGGTGGCATCATGGTGGGAGGGCATGTGAGAGGGAAACAGCAGTCACATCAAGAGACAGGAAGCAAGAAGGATACAGGGGCTATTCTCACCCTTTCTACTCTCACAGGAGCTCACTTGGGTTTCATGAAAACTACATTAGTCCCTACCAAGGGCAGTGCTCTCAACTGGCCTAATTACTTTCCCTCAGGCCCCACTTATTCAAGGTTCCACCTCTTCTTACATTGCCACTCTGGAGGCCAAGTTTGCAGCACATGCAACTTCAGAGGACATGGTCAAACCATATTTAAAAGATAGCAAGTATCATCTAATAAAATCAATAAACCACTTAGTTTCAACTTTTTAACAAATAAGGAATAAAAGGAATATTCTAAAGGGTGCCTACACTAAATCTGTAGCAACTTTTCTTCTCAATGTTAACCATTAGAAGCGTTCTTTGTAAAATATAATAAATATTATTATATTTAAAATATATAAAATATTAGTGTATTATATCAGAGAAAACAAGAGCAAAGTAAAGTGCTCACAATAGCAGCTTTTATGCAATAAAGTGTTGGTTATCTTAGCTATCTTATTATAAAAATAAAACTCTAGGCAAAAAGTAAAATTCTCATTATTTCTATACCAAAACTGTCTAAAGGAAACATACTGGAAGCCCAAAATATGAACCATATATGTTTAATTCATATAAAACAATAAAAAGAAAGAGGTGAGATTAATTCAAATAACTTATTCTATTTAAATTAACATATTCAAATGATATCCATGATTATCTTTTTATCATGTAATCAATATAAAATTATTAGTGCTATAGTTGTTTTTTCAAGTTAAGTTCTCAAAAATCTGGTGTGTATTTTATATTTCTAGTATACCTCAATTAGGATAATACTCAATAGCCTCCTGTGGCTAATGACCAATGAACTATTAGCTCAGTTATATGGAGAGTATAAACATCTATATAGAAAATATCAGGGACCATATGGCCAAATGTTAAAAAATAGGGGAGTTTAGAAATATTTCTGGCTAAATTATGAATATATAAAGATTGACAATACAATACTCTATAAAATATAAAAATATTTTCAAATAAAAATTATGCTTAAAATACCAACAAAAATATACAGTGGAATAAACTTGACAAAATGTGTTCAAGTTTTTTGGAGAAAAAAAAATTTAAATATTTTTTCTTTTACTTGTACACTTTTGTTTTTACTTATTTACTTTTACATGGTGCTGAGGATTGAACCCAGGGGCGCACACTCTAGGTGAGCACTCTACTGCTGAGCCACAACCCCAGCCCTTTTTTCTTTTTTTTGCCATTATACATGTAATTTTCTTTTGCATCACAAATCTTAATACAGATATATACCACAATGTTTTATATCTCTGTTTGTATATAAGGTATATTGACACCAAATTCAAATCTTCATACATATATTTTGTATAATGATGATCATCACATTCCCCCATCCTTGCTATTCCTCTTCCCCCTCCCTTCTCCACCCCACTTCCCTATCTAGAAATAATCTTCCTCCCATGCTCTCCCTCCCTACCCCACTTTGAGTCACCCCCCTTATATCAGAGAAAATATTCGGCATTTGATTTTTTGGGATTGGCTAACTTCACTTAGCATTATCTTCTCCAACTCCATCCATTTACTTAAAAATGCCACGATTTTGTGCTTTTTATTGGTGAATAATATTCCATTGTGTATAAATGCCACACTTTTTTATCCATTCATCCACTGAAGGACATCTATGTTGGCTCCACAGTTTACTTATTATGAATTGTGCTGCTGTAAACATTGATGTGGCTGTGTCCCTGTAGTATGCTGCTTTTAGGTCCTTTGGGTATAGTCTGAGAAGAGGAATAGCTGGGTCAAATGGTGGTTCCATTCCCAGATTTCCAAGGAATCTCCATACTGCTTTCCAAATTGGCTGCACCAATTTGCAGTCCCACCAGCAGTGTATGACTGTACCTTTTTCCCCACTTCCTCACCAACACTTGTTGTTTGTCTTCATAATAGCTGCCATTCTGACTGGAGTGAGATGGTATCTTAGAGTAGTTTTGATTTGCATTTCTCTAATTGCTAGAGATGATGAGCATTTTTTCATATATTTGTTGATTGATTGTATATCCTCTTCTGAGAAGTGTCTGTTTAGGTCCTTGGCCCATTTATTGATTGGATTATTTGTTTGTTTGTTTGTTTTTGGTGCTTAGCTTGTTGAGTTCTTTATATACCCTAGAGATTAGTGCTCTATCTGATGTGTGAGGGGTAAAAATCTACATTCAGGATGTAGGCTCTCTGTTCACCTCACAGATTGTTTCTTTTCCTGAGAAAAACCTTTTTAGTTTGAATCCATCCCATTTATTGATTCTTGGTTTTAATTCTTATGCTATAGACATCTTATTAAGGAAGTTGGGGCCTATCCCACGTGGTAAAGATTAGGGCCTACTTTTTCTTCTATTAGATGCAGAGTCTCTGGTTTAATTCCTAGATCTTCGATCCATTTTGCGTTAACTTTTGTGCATGGTGAGAGATAGGGATTTAATCTCATTTTGTTGCATATGGATTTCTAGTTTTCCCAGCACCATTTGTTGAAGATGCTAACTTTTCTCCAGTTCATGCTTTTGGCACCTTTGTCTAATATTTTGTGGGTTAGCCTCTGTGTCCTCTATTCTATACCATTGCTCTACCACTCTGTTTTGGTGCCAATACCATGCTGTTTTTGTTACTATTGCTCTGTAGCATAGTTTAAGGTCTGATATAGATATATACCACATATTTCACTCTTCCTGCTAAGAATTGCTTTATTCTGGGTCTCTTATTTTTCCAGATGAGTTTCATGATTGTGGAGAAAATTTTAAACTTTATTGCAAGACTTGTACTCATAAATACATATATAAAAGATCCTGCTCCACCTAATGAATGATTATCAGACTGCATCATCAAGAAAGGGAAAGGGACTGTAAAGAGTAAATACAAGAGTAAGAACACTTTACATGATTCTTTATAATTTTTCTTTACTTCGGAGCAACTTATTTTTATAAGTTGCCACCCAGACCTTTTACATGCTAGGCAAGAACTCTGCTTCTGAGCTACACCCCAGTCCAGACAGAGCAACATTTTAGGAAAAAGTTTTATATGGTAATCTATAAAACATACATTT